ATTCAAACGGACACTAACATATAAAACAATAAAATAAAGAACATTAAAAGTTATTGTACCAACGTTTGGAGTTTAGATATTTGACTTCCAAACAGCTGACAAAAAAGTTACACGAGTTTAGATGCTCAAGCATGGCATGAGACGATTGATTTTTCATGTCGCATTTCAATTTATTAATTTTATATCATTTTTATAAGAACTTTTATTTTTATACACGAAAGATTTGAAAAAAGTTATTTTTTTAAATTTATTTTGTAAGTGATCAAAATATATTGATTTTTCTTTTAAATTCTTTTTTAAATTTTTTTTGTGTCAAGTCAAAAAATATCACATAAATTAAAGCGGAAAGTAGTATATTGTTTTAAAAGCAAGCCTATTTGAAAAACGTTTTCTATGGTCCTTGAACAAGCATTATACAATCAAAATCTCCGGTCGGTCACCTACTTATTGCAGTCCATCGCATTCCCATGTGAGGAACAATTAGTGACTTCTTTGCTTATGCTTCTACGCAAGGATGGCAATGGGCGGTACGGTGTGGGACGGAGTGGGTTGAGTTTAATCCGTCTTGTTCAGTACCGCCTTGCATAACAATTTTTTTTATTTTCAATCCGCTCTGCATTGACCTTCTTCGCATGGTTCTGCACTTGCATAATTTTTTTACTCTATTTTATTTTTTTAGTTAAGTTTGATACTAAAAATAAAATTTAGGATAAATTACCTAAATGCATACCTTTTTTTTTTCTTCATAATTCTCATTATTCCCTACCAGTTATAAAATTTCCCAAAATCCCTTATTTTACTCCCAAACACTGGATTTAATCCTAGCTTCCAAAACCAACGTTTATCCCTTCCTTATTTCACTCCACAAATCTCTCCCTATTTTTAGTCACATAATTAAGTTATTTTCTCAGTCTATTTCATGTAGGTTAAGGATATTTTTACACAAAAAAGTTAAAAAAGAAGAAGATATTTATGAGTCTTTTACCTATTTTAAAAAATACTCTAAAATTTATAATTAAATAAAATAATTGAACTTTCAAATTTGAACACTACAACGTAAATTAGAAAAAAAGAAGAAGTAATAGTAATAGTTATTATTTGATAATAATTAGCATTATATTTATAAATTTTCCATAATTTGAGTTGGTTATGGACTCTAACAACTAATCATTTATTGAAATCGATTAGGATTCTTATATTATTATTACTAGTATACATACCTGCGCGTTGCACAAATATTTTAAAATATAATAATTTTTAAACTTAAAAATAATTAATATGAATTATTATTATTGAGTAACAAAAGTATATGTATATAATATTAGGATATAGTTTTTAAAATTTTAAAATAATTTTATATAAATAATTAATATATTTTTATAATATTAATTAGAAAAAATTTAGACTTTATAAACGCCACCAACATGCTATTATGAATATAACGTGAAAACATACATGGCAATTCATTTCAAATAAATTTTAATTCGAAATTTGAAAGCAATGATATCAATTATTATCTTTAAATTGAAATACATGTGGAGAGATTTTATATGATAGAATGAAAATTTTGAAATGATAAAATAAAGTTGATCAAAATGAAAATCTAAAAGTAACACTTTGCAAGTTCTCATTCATTATATTGAAATCTTCTGAGCATGTTAAATTGCTAAAGAAATAAGAATTACAACACAAATTAAGCCTGACTATATAAGTTCTCACTAATTTAAATCCTAACTTTTATTAATGTGAATCTCATCCATTTTATTCCATTTTCAGATGTAATTTCTAGTATAGTAAGATACGCCATTTATTTATAAAATTGTTCAAATGTCTTTTATTTTATATGTACAATTCAACGTTCGCTTTAATTATTATTTTTTATTTATAAAGGATAAAAAGCTATAATAATTTTACATTATGACAATTTAGTTTACACGATTATTAAAAGATATAATAGGGAATACTTCTTATTCTAAGTTAGCCTGTATATTAAAGTTAAAAATATAACCGGGAATGTTTCTTATTCTAAAGTTAGCAGTTAAATTGAAATTAAAAAATATAATATGAGATGCTTCTTATCCTAAATTTGCATATATGTATTAAAATATATAATTTTTGGAATACCGATAAAGAGTAGTTTGAATTTATTCTTTTAAATAAATGACAACTCGAATACGTTTGATGACATCTTTAAAAATAAAATATAGATTTGAAATATATATTTATATATATATATATATTTATTTATTTTTAAATTCAAATTTTGTTTTTTGTATGTGATGTTAAACGTGGTACTTTTGTTTTTCCTATTATGTAGGTAAAAGAGTAAATTGAGTTTTGAGAGATTAGAGTAGTTAGGTAAGTGGATAACGGATTTTAGGTTTAGTTTCATTTTCTTCTTATCTTTATCTATTTTTATTAAAATAAATTACCTACGTATATTTAACCATCCTTATTAATGTTTTCTTCTTCTTCTTCTTCTTCATTTCGTTAATTGTTTTATTTTATTTTTTGTTATAATATTTTTAAATTTAATTTATTGTCATTTTAATCGTCAATTCCAACATCCAAAATTCAAGCACTACAAAAAAATCTCATAATATGATAAAAAAAAATAACTAACGAATTAAAAATATTAAACTAATAATATGAGATCTTTAGATATTGTGACTTTCATTGTGAATGAGGATTTTATGAGTAAGAAATTAATTATACGTAATGAAAGAGAAAAGTGGGAATAGTGATAATTTTTAAGTCTTCTTCTATCAGTTTTTTTTTTTTTTTTGATAATGTTGACAATTTTTTTCTCTTTATCAAATTACGTAAACAAAATTTGAGATAATTTTTTAAAGAAAACAATCAAACTGAAAATTTGAGAAGTATTTTGATGATGAAATGTGATATTATTAAATAAAATCAATAATTGAATATTATTTTTAAAAAATATTAATAAAGATACATATCATTAACTAATATAAAATTGTTCAAATGTCTTTTATTTTGTATGTACAATTCAACGTGAGCTTTAATTATTATTTTTTATTTATAAAGGATAAAAAGCTATAATAATTTTACTTTATGACAATTTAGTTTACACGATTATTAAAAGATATAATAGAGAATACTTCTTATTCTAAGTTAGCCTATATATTAAAAGTTAAAAATATAATCAGGAATGTTTCTTATCCTAAAGTTAGCAGTTAAATTGAAATTAAAAAATATAATATGAGATGCTTCTTATCCTAAATTTGCATATATGTATTAAAATATATAATTTTTGGAATACTGATAAAAAGAGTAGTTTGAATTTATTCTTTATAAAAAAAAATGATAACTCGAATACATTTGATGACATCTTGAAAAATAAAATATAGATTTGAAATATTTAAATTTATTTTTTAAAATTCAAATTTTGTTTTTTTATGTGATGTTAAACGTGGTACTTTTGTTTTTCTTATTATGTAGGTAAATTGAGTTTTGAGAGATTAGAATAGTTAGGTAAGTGGATAACGGATTTTAGGTTCAGTTTCATTTTCTTCTTATCTTTATCTATTTTTTTTTTTAAAAAAAAATTACCTACGTATATTTAACCATCCTTATTAATGTTTTCTTTTTCTTCTTCTTCATTTCGTTAATTGTTTTATTTTTTATTTTATTTTGTTATAATATTTTTAAATTTAATTTATTGTCATTTTTATCGTCAATTCCAACATCCAAAATTCAAGCACTACAAAAAAATCTCATAATATGATAAAAAAAAAATAACAACTAACGAATTAAAAATATTAAAATAATAATATGAGATCTTTAGATATTGTGAATGAGGATTTTATGAGTAAGAAATTATGGATTGAAAAAGAAAAAGAGAAAAGTGGGAATAGTGATAATATTTAAGTCTTCTTCTATCAGTTTTTTTTTTTTTTTTTTTTTATGATAATGTTGACAAATTTTTACTATTTATCAAATTACGTAAAGAAAATTTGAGATAATTTTTTTAAGAAAACAATCAAACTGAAAATCTGAGAATTATTTTAATGATGAAATGTGATATTATTAAATAAAATCAATAATTGAATATTATTTAAAAAATAATATTAAAAAAGATACATATCATCAACTAATAAAATAATACTTATCATCAACTTTAAAAATCTATATATACATGAAAAGGGGAACTAAAAAATTATTTGAATAAATCAATATGAATTACAGATGACATATTTTGAAAAATTTTAGGTTAGTTTTTCTTTTCTGATCTTTATCTACTTTTTATTTTAAAAAGTCTTACCTACATATCTTTAACTATTCTTTTATTATTAATGTTTTCTTCTTCTTTTTTTTTGTTAATGAATTGTTTTACCTTTTTATTTAATTTTCTGTTATGACATTTTTAAATTTAATTTATTGTCATTGTTAACATTGGCTATAACATCCAAAATTCAAGCACTACAAAAACTAAAAATACTGCATACTTTTAAACCCAAAAAAATCTGCATAATATGATAGTAATAAGGAAAAAAGCAACTAACAAATTAAAAATATTGTACTAATAATATGAGATCTTTAGATATTGTGACTTTCTTTATGATCGAAGATTTTATGAGTAAGAATTGAATTATCCTTAAGAATTGAATTAAAAATATTCCTACCTTTTTCTTATTTATTTTTTTGTTACATTTTTATGAAAAAAAACTTCACTTGTCATTTTCATTTTTTTAAATAGTTATATCACATTCTGTTTTTTAAGTTATACTTTTTAGAAAATTATTTTCAAAATTAGATAATTTAATTATTTATTAAATTAAACAAAATCATAAATGCACCCACACAAGCCATACTATATGTGTATGTGTATTTATTTAAAAGAGAGGAGAATATTGTGCAAGTAAATTAAATGTTAAATGATCATAATAATACTCAAAATGATTTTTTTTTTTTTGGTAACCAACAAGATTATATTAATCACCATAGTGTAACCATTACAAATCCAATAGCAAAGTCAAACCCAACTTGCTATTCTAAAAAAAAACAGAGACAACTAGAACAAAGGAAAACTAAGCTAGCAATCTAAAATGCAAACTGATGAATGGCTTGCATAGTTTTCTAGCTGGCCCTAACACAACAAATATAAGCAATCTCCCTGGCAAGAGATTCCCAAGTTCTGCTATCCTTCTCAAAGATTCTGTGGTTCCTCTCAATCCAAATCGCATAGACATACTCAGTATATACCAACTTAAAAATTTGGGCAGTTGGAGTTTTCCCTTTTGCGGCATCAATGATTCCCAAGACATATTGGCTCCAATTGTTGTAAGGAGCTTGTACAAATTGAATCCATTGTAATAACTTGCTCCAAACCTGTTGACTGTAAGGACAACTTGTATACATATGATCTCTAAATTCAAAATGAAGTTGGCACAAAACACACTTCAGCTCTATATCTAGTCCCCATTTTTTGAGTCTATCCGTGGTGTTTAGTCTGTTTTGCAGCTGCAACCACATAGTGAAGACTGCCTTTGGCCTGGCAAAGTTTTGAAACATCAAGCACTTCCATGGAACTCTCTGTTGGGGCCGAAACAAGTGAAAGTATAGTTGCCTGATCATACTTTTGTTCTGCAAGACTATGGGCTGAAACTGTGAATAAACTTGTCTAGCCTCCAAAATTTTCTTTACCATCCAACAAGCTTGTTGGGAAATGATCACTTCTTGGAAAGGAGTTCTTTTAATATAGTAAGAGTGCACCCACTTAATCCACAGCTTATCCTGTTTATGCTCTAGGTCCCAACAATGTTTAGCAATAGCAGCCTTATTCCATGAGTGAAGATTAATCAAGTTGAGGCCACCTACTGATTTTGGAGAATAAACTTTCCCAAGCCACCAAAGCTTTCTTGGTGATAGTATTAGTGCCCGACCATACGTAACTTCTACAATGCGCATCAATGAGCTTAATCACCTTAGAAGGAATAATAAACAAATTGAGCCCAATAGGCTTGAATACCAAATAGAACTGATTAGAACAAGCTGCATTCTTCCTGCATAAGACAGTTTTTTTGGCTGTCCATGAGGTAATTTTTTGCTGTAATCTTCTCAACAAGTGGCATCCATTGTACAAGATTAAGTTTCTTGGTAGATAGTGGAATCCCTAGATATTTGAAAGGAGGGTTCCTAATGTCAAACCAAGACAACCCATAATCTGGCCTTGCACTGTGTGAGTAGTGCCTCCAAAATAAATGGAACTTTTGTTTAAATTTGCCTGTAGTCCAGAAGCTTCAGAGAAAATAGTGAAACAGTGTTGTAGCATGGTAATAGAGTGAAGCTCAGCACTACAGAATAGGAGAATAATGAATTGTCAAATGATCATAATAATAATCAAAATGATCACGCTAAGAAATACTACTCTGCATATAAATTAACAAAAATGTAATTTGTGAACGAAGAATATGATAATTATGATGATATGTATTCATCATCATTCTCATAATATTTATATTGATTTTATTCTTACAAAATGAAACACTTATTAAAATCGTTAAAAGAATATGAAAACAACATAATTAAGGAACGCCAACCAAATTTAATTAGTGATTGACATACATGATCCATTAATATGAAATTCTTTGGAATTCCTCCATTTATCTATCGTCGATTTCTTCTTCTTCTTCTTTGTTGCATTGGAGAGTATGGTGGTCCTTCTCCTGCAATTATAACAAGACAATTTCATATCAAACAATTAAGAAAAATGACATATATATACACACAATACACTACTATACTTTTCCTCATTTTCTTTTATATATGATCTCACGTGAATGTAATACGGTTTTTGTTTGAATGTAATATTTATTTTATAGATGTTTGGATTCGTTTATGAAGATTTTGATTTAAAAAGATGTGAATGATGTTATTAAGAATAATAATTTTCTTCAAAGATGTGGGTTAGGAAGTTGAGATTCTTTTAGGGATAAGGTTAGTTATTATTTAGATATTTTTGTGGCTAATTTTGAGATTTCTTTTTTTAAAGGACGTGATATCCTTTTTTTTTTTTTTTTTTGAATTGGAAGTCTTTTCTTTCTATTAATAAAAATAAGACATATTATATGTATAGAATTTATAAAAAAGAAATTTACAAAGAAAGGGAAAAAAACCTACACCATTTCAACTAATCCACCGTTTAACTTTTTTTTTTTTTTACAATAAGTTTTTTCATTTTGTTAATGGTAATTTTTTTTTCCTACAATCAGTTTTTAATTTTTTTTTTAATAATAATTTTTTTTTGTGGTGCTGACATGTGGCACTTTTTACTTCTCATAATAAATAAAGATAGATAATTTTTAAATTAAGATATTTAAAAGGATAATACTTGATAGTTCCATAAAATTAGGCTCTGAAAGTAAATTTCAAGTGAACGTGTGCGTTTTTAATTTTTATTTTTTTTATTTTTTTAATTGGAATTATATTTTTATTTTTAGCAATATGTTTGTAATTAAAAAATCGAAATTTTAGGGTGGTTACTATAAGTTTACATATATTTTTGAAATTCAATTATTATTATTATTATTATTATTATTATTACTATTATTATTATTATTATTAGTAATAATAATGTCTGGTTAAAAGGATTTTAAAATTTAGTGAATTATTAGCCACTTTTATTTGCCACTTTTCCATCGGCAATACAATAAACAATAAGGTAATAAATTCTTTAAAAAAAACTGTTTTTTTAAAAACTGTTTTAAAATGGAATTTATTATTTAAATTAATTAAAGACAATTAAGTTATTGAATTTGAATTTATTATTTATTTAAAATAACTAAAAATAATAAAATTCAAGAATAATTGTGGTACTGACATGTGTCATTTTTTTCCTCTCCTTTTATATATAGATAGATTATTTAATCTTCTCACTGTCTCATATAATATTAGTTTCAATTTTTCCATAGTTTAATACAGTCTAATAATTTCCTCTGTTTTCATGTGTTTTTCATAATCAAATTTCTTTAATGGATTGTGTTTGTTCATGTATCTAATTGATAACTTAATTCTTATTTATTGTGATACATTTATAGATACACTTTATTTCAGCTTACATAAACCCTTCTTTCACAACCTTATTATATCAGATACATTATTATCAACTACAAAATGATACATTATATACCCCTCATCCACCTATTGAGTTAAAAATACCCCTCAATTCACCTTTTTGGTCCATTTTTACCCTTAAAACTAACACCCTTTTATTTTTTAATTATTATTTGTTACGTGATATCTTCTAATTGGATAAAACTAAATTCTAACCCATTAAATTTTCCTTCATCCGCCCCGATCCATATCTATAGCCCCATGACCCAAACTCAATTAAAAGATCTTTTAAAAAAAACATCTCTCTTTCTCACAATAGCTATTTCAGAACCACCCATCAACTACAAGAAGAAGCATTTTCAGCTACTTCAACTGTTGTGTGAAAGTTTGAAGTTGATTATGATTGATTTTTGTGTATTTTTCTAACTTTTCTGTAATGATAATGTTTCAAAGGTGACTTTATGATAATTCTTCTAAGAAATAACAACTTATTCTGGCTTTTGAAGATTGTGAAAAAAAGAAGACGCTATTTCAAGACCAAGTTAAAAGAATCAAGCAACTTAATTTGATGTATATGTTTCTTTCTAAAAAACCACGTATCAACAATCCACGTCTCTGTCAATTTTTAAAAGATGTTGTGATGTTCTTGGTGGTCCGTGGTGGGCAGGTAGAAAGTAAACTATCATAGTATTATGCCCAAATACAGTTGTTAGCTAATCTTTTTTTATCAATTGATTAATTATGTAGCAGGGCATGTGGGTGATCATTGATATTAAGTGAAGTATATTATTTTTCATGTAAATTTTTTTGGTACACAATTTTCATTCCTGCAAGAAGCTATTAGGATTAATGGAGAAAGAGAGGTTAATATATCCTTTATTTTTAATGGGTTTTAAATTGGGTTTTGGGTTATGGGCTATGGATATGGGTCAGTGGGTAGAGGAAAATCTAATGGGTTGGAATTTAGTTTTATCCAATAGGAAGATGCCACGTAATAAATAGTAATAAAAATAATTAAAAAATAAAAGGGTGTTAGTTTTAAGGGTAAAAATTGACCAAAAAGATGAACGGAGGGGTATTTTTAACCCAATAGGTGGATGGGGGAGGGGGGTGGGGTATATTTGAACCTTTTCGAATAGTTCAAGGGTATTATTGGCCCTTTTCCATATTAAAAAAATGTATCTTATCAACTTGAAATCTTCCACAATTGCATATTTATCTTTCAAGGCAAACAATGTACTTTCTTCCAGAATCATAGACTGAATAAAGATACTCAAATGATGCAACAACCTGTTAACATTAAAGAGATTAGTTATACATTTCATAAAATAATTATTTTTATGTATCAATCACACACAATCAGACACATAACTTATACTTAATATTAGATACAAAATATAAATATAATATGATACATACCCTCATTCTTGAACATTTTGATGCGTTTACAACAAATTAAACATGTATAATGTATCATCTATGTATAGTATTTCACAAACACAACAAGCTACAAAAATAGTAATGTATCATGCTAAACATTCGGTCATGATATAATAATTTAAATTAATACTACATGTATCTGATATATAATAATTATCACACAGTAATGTGTCGAACTCTAAGCAAACATTTTACGTGCAAAATTTACTTATTTAATGAATCTAATTAATAGGAATACAGTACTTATCAATTTATACAAGATACATAAATACTAATGTATCACAGTTGATATAGTCATCTCGAAAACACAAATAAAATATCGAAGTAACTACATGTATCTGATATTTAACCACTACCACACAATAATGTATCGATCTAAAAGAAAAACCTTATGGACAACATTTACTTTAATGTATCAAATAGGATTACAGTACTTAAAACTTCTTCAAACCCCTAACGATCATAGTAACAAGACTAGCGAAGATATTCATGATGTATCTTCTCAAAATATTCGATAATTTTAAATAAAAAATGAAAGTATCTTCAATGAACTAAGAGAAGAATTTTGAATCTCAAAATTTTCAACAGTTTTGAATCAAAATTGAAAGGATCTTCGATGAACTGGGAGAGGAATTTTGAATCTCAAAATATTCGACAATCTTGAATCAATTGAAAGGATCTTTGATGAACTTGAAGATTCACAAATAAAATCATTTTTTCAACAACAATTCCATCACTTTTGTATCCTTCTTGACTCACCTTGCTACACAAATTTCTGAATGTCTTAACGAAATCGATATATTCATCTTGTATAAGCCACTTTGATAGAATATTTTGGATTTGATACGATTTCTGATAGATGGAGGAGATGAAAATCTTGTATCAACCACTTTGGTCGAATACTATGGATCTGTTACGATTTCTGATAGATGGAGGAGATGAAAATCTTGGATCAGTCACTTTGGCTGAATACTTTGGATCAGTCACTTTGGCTGAATACTTTGGATCTGTTACGATTTCTGATAGATGGAGGCGATAAAAATTTGAATTTTCAATTCTTTGAAGTTGTTATAGTTTGAATAGATTGATATCAATATGTTTAGAGTGATTGGGGGAATGAAATTAATTTTACGTTTAGGTTCCATATTAAGCGCAACTGACCAGATTTGTAATGTATCATGGGTGATGTATCCAGATTAATCTTATGTATCCGGATGGATGATTCTTTAAGGATTTTTGGTAAATTAGAAAAGAGTAGGGATAAGATTTTATAGGTCTTATACTATGAGATTTATGTAAGTTATACTAAAATTTATAAAAATAA